AGACATCTGGCCGACTTTTTGTTGTTGAGCAGCACCTGTTCGGTGGTCTGCTCTGGGCACGCTTCCTTTGGACAGGTTCAGGCGTCCGCGCGTCTTGGCAGGGCGTCGGCACCCGCGCGTGGCGGCGCGCGCGCGTGGCCCGCATGGAGCTACGTATTTGATACGGTTTCGTGCGCTGGGCGCGCGCCAACTCGACGCGGCTGCACTGCGCGCTGCTCGAGGAGCGAATGGCGACGCCTGGCAAAGACGCGGAGCTGATTGCCGACGTTCGCAGGCTCGCCCTCGGGCAGACCCTCAGGTTTCGGGGTTTCGGGGTTGGACGCGGTGAGCGCGGTTTCTTGGCGGAGCTGACTGAGCATACTGTTTTCACAACGATCACAGCAAGCGCGCGGGCAGAACATCTGCACGATGTGGATGATCTTTTTTTAACTACCGCTGGGGTTTTGGAGGTCTCACTAATGTTTTTGGTGTGCTTTCGACATGTGCGCGCACGTGTGGACTCTGCTGATTTTTCTGCAAGGAATTCTTGTAATCTTAGTTCTGATCTCAACGAGTGTTTGCGCATTAGAATGTTTGACAAGGATGGCGGGGGGGTCGATACAGGTTGGGCTGGGATGGTGTGGTTTTACAAGGGAAACAACGATGGGGCAGACTCTCATGCAAATTGTAATGCCCCAGGGTGGACCCTAAAATCTGGGCTCGGGAGGGTGGTACAGACTTTTCTCTTTCGGGACGGGGATCTATGTCGGGCACGCTAAGTGGTGCAAGCTAAACTGTGTGGTGCAAGCTCTGTACTTCAATCTATATTGTGCGAACTATGATTTAGACTTTGAAATTTATCTGTGGGGCAAACCATGTTGTGCAGTCTAGTTTGTGCAATCTATGTGGTGCTGCCGTGCAGCCCTCGCGTTCGCGCCATGGAGCGGGCGTTCACATGACACGGATCCATGCACATTCGTCGGCACCGCACGGGGCGATCTTGTCGGTCGGCCCGCGCGCCAAGGGCTCACGCGGTTCGCTGGGTCCCCCCCGCCGGGCTAAATGCAAGGCGTTTCGAACAGGCAAATCGGCATGGCCCACTCTCACTTCACTCCTGGGAAAGCGGTTCCTGGCATCTCGAGCGCCTGACGCGCACAAGACCTACCCCTTCGTGGCTCCGAAGACATGCCAAGAACATTTCCGCCTCCTCCTCCTCTTGATCCCACCACTTTCCTTGTTCTTGTGCTTTTCCCATCGTTTTCCTGGTGTCCACTGTCCTCGAATATGCTGATGAAGGCCTTCGCGTAGACAAGAGACGCGTCATATATGAGGCCCCCAAGTAACTTAGAACGGCTCCCACGCTGCGCCCCAGAAAAAGTCAGCACATCCAGTGTGCCTTGAACGTTGCCGTCCAGCGCTTGGTTCGTAAGATTCTGGAATATAAACTGCTCGCTGAGCGTCTGCGCCCGAGAACGGCCACGAAACATTTCTAAGGTGGCCTCCTGACGTCGCCTAGCCGGTCCGAGGTGGCATAATGGCGGCGGCCCAGAACCCTGAGATCCGACGTCGCGAAAAATTGCAGCACCGTGCAAGAACTCGACCAGAACCTTGGACCCCATCTACCTGCGGCATCTCGAGCCAGATCGATCCGAGAGGGCTCCAGGACCTGAAACCGGGCAAACTCGCCCGCTGCGGACGAATTGCGACGCCACGATCTCGAGGCTCCCCCCGGGGTTTTCGGGTCGTCCGCCACCGTGCCGCTGGGCACGGAGTGGGCGTGTCCTCAGGTCCTTTGCCTAATGCCATGGGCACTCCCGAGTAGACTCGAAGAGGCCCGGACCCCGAATTCCCAAACCTGTCGGGGCTCCCCGCGTGCCCTCCGGGCTGCCCCCGCGGCTGCCCGCAGGATTTTCGGGCCCGAGAAGAGGCCCCAGGACGGGCCAAGAGGGCCCGAGGCCCGAGGACGGTCCAAGAGGGTCCCGAGTCGCCGAACGATCGCTGCAAGACGCTCCAGATGACTCGCAGACGGCCCAACAGGCCTCGAGGCCTCCAAGAGGCCGCCCCAAGGCGCCCCAAGAGGCCAACATCATTGATTTTCCTAGGGTTTTTGAATCATTTTGGCGTTCTCCCCTTTTCTGCTTTCCGACGCCGCAAGACGGCCCAACGCCCCCAAGACCACCCCAAGACGGCCCAAGAGGCCTCCAATAGGGCCTCAAGACGGCCTAATCGCGCCCTAACACGGCCCAAGAGGCGTCCAAGATGGCCCAAGAGGGCCCAAAAGGGGCCAAGAGAGGGAAACATGAACCGATCATCCGAGCGTTCCGCCCCAAGAGGCTCCCAGAAGGCCCCAAGAGGCGCCCAACAGGCACCAAGATGCCCCCGAGAAGCCCCCAAGAGGCCCCAAGAGGCACCCAAAACCCAAACGAGGCCCCTAAGAGGCCCCAGAACGGCCCCAAGAGGCTTTAAACCTGCCTCCAAGAGGGCCCCGCGGGGCCTCCGAGATCCGAGCGAACATCCAATAGGCTTCACACCCACCACCCAGGGCACGGTGGCTGGATGGGCCGAAGGCCATTGGTTCACTCGGCTCTCCGGCGGCTGTTCGGGACGATCCAGGCACCCTCAGACGCCCCCTATTGCTTGCAACAAGGGTGCCTGGCGTGCTAGACCCTTTCGGTCTTGGTTTTGGTTCTTTTTCCCAAAGAACTCCCCCTGGGGCTTCGGCCCGTCCCGCCGGGGTCCCGGAAGGATTGCCCAGGACCGGAAACGACCTCAACGTCCGCAACAAACAAATTCCAAGACGGCTCAAGATGGCCTCCACGATGGTCCAAGACGGCCTCCAAGTCCGCCCAAGAGAGGAGATGCCTCCAAGTCCGCCCAAGAAACCTCCAAGACGGCCCAAGACGGCCCAAGAGGTGTCCAAGAGGCCTCCAAGACGGCCCAAGAGGCCTCCGAGAGGTCCTCCAGGAGGGCCCACAGAGGCCCAAATCATGGATTTAGTTTTTTTTTTTTCTTCCTTCTTCTTCTTCTTCTTCTTCTTCTTCTTCTTCTTCTTCTTCTTCTTCTTCTTTCTTATATATAAGCATTTTTCGTATGTGCTCCTTTTCGGCTTTCCGACGACCCAAGACGGCCCAAGAGGCCCCCAAGATCGCCCCCACAATGCCCAAGTGGCCTCCAAGATGGCCTCAGGACTGCCCAAGAGGCCCCCAAGACGGCCCCAAGAGGGCACAAAGACGACCCAAGAGGCCTCCAAGACGCCCAAGATGGCCTCTAAGACGGCCCTGGAGCACCCCAAGAGGGCCCCAAGTCGGCTCAGAGAGGCCCCCCAAACGGCTTCCGACGGCGTCAGTTGGGCCAGGAGCCCACCAAGATGGCCGAAGTTGGCTCGAAGCTGGCCCAAGACGGCTCAAGAGGCCTCCAAGAGGGCCTCTAGAAAGGCCACAAAAGGCCCCCCAAAATGATATTCCTTAGGTTTTTGAATGATTTTGGGATTTGCTTCTCTTCGGCCGTCCGACGCCCCGAGACGGCCCAAGAGCCCCCAAAGATCGCCCAAGAGGCCTCCAGGATGGCCCCAGAACGGCCCAAGAGGCCTCCAAGACGGCCCCAAGAGGCCCCCAAGACGGCCCAGGAGGCTTTTGAGACGCCCAAGATGGCCTCCAAGACGGCCCTGGAGCATTCCAAGAGGACCCCAAATCGGCCCAGAGGGGCCCCCCAAACGGCTTCCGATGGCGTCGGACGGGCCAGGAGCCCACTAAAACGGCCGAAGATGACCCTAAAGTGGCCCAAGAGGCTTCCAAGAGGGCCTCCAGGAAGGGCCGAAAAGGCCCAAATCATTGATTTCCCTTGATTTTTGTAAGGATTGTGGCATTTGCTGTTTTTCGGCCTTCCGACGGCCCGAGACGGCCCAAGTGCCCCCAAAGATCGCCCAAGAGGCCCACGACGGCCCCCAGAGGCCCCCAAGACGGCCCAAGAGGCCTCCAAGAGCTTCCAAGACGGCCCAAGAGCCCTCCAAGACGTCCTCCAAGAAGGCCCGAAAGGGTCAAAATGGCATCCAGACGGCCAAGGTGACTTTCAAGATGCCCACGTGTTCTCCGAAGGCTTTCCAAACCGATTCGGGGAACACATGGTCCGATAGCTTGGCAGGTCTGGCCTCAACCTTCGGCCACATAGGCGCTTCCAAAAAGGCAGGGAGCGGCGGTGATTAGCCGTAGGCGGCTTAGATGCACTCGGCTCTCCGGCGGCTGTTCGGGACGATCCAAGCAACCCCAGACCGCCCTCGGCGAGGCGAGAAAGTATAGTATCGTGCAAGGGCTCGACCGGAGCCCTGACCCCCATCTTCCCGCGGCACCTTTCCAGGCCGTATCGATCCGTGAGGGCCTCGGGGCACGATGCAAGGCAGACTCGCCCGTTGCAAACGAAATTCGACGCCAGGATCTCAGGGAAGGGGCGGAGACAGCCCAGTGCGCCCAGTGCCCTAGCACTGGCGCGCCTTAGGGTGGCTTGCCAGGTCTGCAAAGCAGGCAAGTGGCAACCAGTAGTTAGACAGCAGTGCATGGCGAGGGGAAACATCAACGCAGCGTGCACCCGAACCGTAAGCATTTTGGCCCGTGAGCCGCTTCGAGCGGCGTGCGCCGCAGCCAGCGTACTCGTGGCCCTGATCCTGAGGAAAATACCATGTATCCGAGGATCTCAGGGAGAGTGCGGAGACAGTGCGCCCTGGTTTTCGGGTCAGAGCTCGGCTTTTCTGGCCGCCGTTCGGTACGGCCCGGGCAGAACCCAGAAACGCTCTCGGCGCGGCGCGGCTGCTGAAGGGCACCCCGAGGCTGGAAAACCGCCGCGAGACGACGGAAACGCACATGCACCGCGAGCCTCGAACCCGACTTCCCTCCGGGAGCCTGCCCCCCCCCAGTGCGCCCCGTGAGACAGGCCAATGCGACCAATACGCCTCAGCACGGCGCGTGGCTCCCGCGCGACCGCCGCGGTGTCCCCGGGCTCGCCGCCGGGGAGGCCGCCGAGCCGCCCGCCGCGCCGCGCGGGTGAGGCCACGGCGCCGACGTCGCAAGGAGCGGCCTCTTGCCGCGGCGGGGCCGTCGTCGTCGTCGTCGTCGTCGTCGTCGTCGTCGTCGTCGTCGTCGTCGTCGTCGTCGTCGTCGTCGTCGACTTTTTCCTGCTCGTTTGCCAGTGTGCCGCCCTAGCCGTCGGGGCTCGCAGGCCCCCTCCAGCAGGCTGGGAAGGGCAGGCCTGCACATCTGCTCCTTCTCCAGTGGCCTGCCCAAGACTCAGTGACTCCCGGGCGTCCTTCCTCCGCTCGGCTGCGCGCCGAGGGGGAAGTGAGAAGGACCAGGCCTTCTCAGAAGGCGGCGGGGCTTCTCAGAAGCCCTCCTGCCTTTCTGAAGCGTTTTCTGCCTGCGCTGAAGGCTTGGAAGAAACTTCTCAGAAGCCCAGGGGACTTCCGAGTCCTCTGAGAAGGCCCGCTCCCTTTCACCTCCCCCCTGGGCTGGCAGCCGATCCTCCTCGTGCCCCACCGGCGGGCATCCCTTTCGCCCCCCTCCCCCCCCCCCTCCCCCGCAACCCTCTGCTCGCGTCCAGGAGCGCGGCGGGGGTGAGCTCCCTCATCTTGATCCCCGATTCCTCGGTACACCTCCCCCTCTCTCCCCCCCCTCCCTTCGTCCCTCCCATCCCTCGATCCTCCTGCTCACCCTCCCTGAATTTAGATCTTCTCCCACTCCTCCCCTCGATCCTCGATCCTCGATCCTCCTCGATCCTCCCCTCCCCTCTGCTGCTGAACCCTCCTCATGCTGCTGCTGCTGCTCCTGCTCCCGCTCCTCCACCCTTCGCTCGCGGCGCGCGCGGGGAGCCCACATGCGCGGGGGGGGGGGGGCGCTGGAAGGGAGCGGGAGGGAGGGGAGGGAGGGAGGATGGTGGGAGGGTGGAGGGTGGAGGGTGGAGGGTGGAGGGTGGAAGAGGAGGAGGAGGAGGAGGAGGAGGAGGAGGAGGAGGAGGAGGAGGAGGAGGAGGAGGAGGAGGAGGAGGAGGAGGACGAGGAGGTTGACGAGGCAGCGAAGGCAGCGGCGAGGGCAGCAGCGGGCTCCTCGCTCGCCTCCTTCCTCTCCCTTTGACCTGCACGGCCCAACCCGCCTGGGGCCGCCGCGCACCCCCCCCTTCTCTCCCCCGAGGGCCCACTTCGACGCGCCGCCCCGGCGGGGGCCGAGGCGCCACCAGCGCGCAGCCGCCAGCCAGGACGAGATGCAGCGGAGGCCAGTCCGCAAGAAGCCTTCCGCAAGAACCCCCCCCCTGAGACCCCCCCCAGGGCGTCCCCACTGGTTTTCGGTATGGGGACGTCACGCTTTCCATCGCCAAACCATCGACACCGAAGAAACCTAGGGCACCCTGGAGGCAAGCAGGGCGTTTCTTGGCATGGGCCTCCACTGCAGCGAGGGAGCGGTTAGGGCGGGAACACGGGGGCGGAGTACTCTTGTAGGCGTTTTTACTCTGGGCTTCGACCTCTGGCCGACGGGTGGGGGAGGGTAAGGCCAGTGGCCCGCGCCCATCGGCGAAACAATGAATAACAAAATGGCGACCTTAACCATGCCCCAACGAGAACACCACCGCTGGCGGGCTGCCGTAGCGAGAACACCACCGCTGGCAGTCGCAGCTCTTGCCCTCGCACCCCACTCAAGACTGCTTGAGTGTTGTTCGCCGCCCTCCCTGGCGGCAGAATGCAGCTGAGGAGCTTGACTCGGGAGGAGGAGGGAGGATGGACGATGCGGCCAAGATTTCTGGAAAGTCCTCCGAGGCTTTCGGCCCCCCAGGGTGCCTTCTGAAGACTGCGCCCGCTCTGGGGACGCGAGCCTTCCCGAACGGCCGCGGAACGGCCACCCGGCGCCCGGGCCGGGACCCGAGAGTCAGTCGGAGGGACCTCTTCTTCTTCTTCTCCTCCTCCTCCTCCTCTTCCTCCTCCTCTCCCTCCTCCTCCTCCTCCTCCTCCTCCTCCTCCTTCCTTGTCCTCCTCCTCCTCCTCCTCCTCCTCCTCTCCCTCCTCCTTCTCCTTCTCCGTATCCTGTTCCTTCTCCTTCTCCTCTTCTTCCTCCTCCTCCTCCTCGTCTTCCTCGTCGAGCTCCTCCGCATCCCCCCACCCCACTTTTGCCATAAGAAGAACATATCACATAAACATAAACTTTCGGAAGTCCGCGCGGATTCCTTGGACCAGCGCTGGGGCCCCTCCTTATTGCGCAGCATGCCATGGTCGGCGCTGAAAGCGCCGCCAAGGGATCCAACACCGATCTAAGACATCCGCCTGGGCTCCCGACATTTCACGTGTATTATTTTGTTTTTTTCCAGATCTTGTTCCTCCTCCTCCTGCAGTCCTTCTCCTCCTCCTCCTCCTCCTCCTCCTCCTTACATCTCCTGGTGATCCGCCACCTCCTCTTCCAATGTACGCAACTCCCCTTGTCTGATTGCGCATAACACGATGGGGTCCTCTGGGAGGTGCCAGGCCCGCTACAAACATGGCACTGACAGAAAGACCTCTGAAAGAACGGAAGGGCTTTTCTGGCCACGGCGAGCCTCGACCGCGATGCGGCTCCCCGGCCTAGACCCGAGGAGCGGCCCGAAAACATGAGCCCCTCCCGAGCGCAAAGTAGCCCCGTGTGTCAGCGACTCGACTGTGTGACACCCGTCGGCGGATAGGGAACAGACAGCGCAGTGGGAAGCGGATGGGCGGGAGGGGTAGGCCATCGGACATGGCGCGAGCGCCTTGGCTTGCTCCCCCTCGGCCCTCCCCCGCGCTGCCCTCCCGCGGGGAGGGCGGCCTTCCTCCGCCACAAGCCAGGCCAAGAGGCCCCCAGATGGGCCCAGAGGAGGCCCCCCAAACGGCCCCCAAGAGGCCTCAAAACTGCCTCCAAGAGGCCAACCACGAGATCCCAACTGATAGGCTTCATACCCACAACCAAGGCACGGTGGCGGGATGGGCCGAAGGCCATTCGAAGACTTTCGGGCCCTATGATCTGGGCGTCTCCCGCATGGGCGCACTGTTGCAAACAGACGCATGAAGTAGAGGTCCAGAGTCAGACCCCCCGCCCTCCCCCCCTTCCGCCCAATGTCGAAACGCCGAGTAAAAAACGCTCACAAATCCGCGCGGAGCTCCGAAAGTCTATGTTCATGCCGTTTTTCCTTCTTCGAGGTCGGCGATGGCACGATCCTGGGCGGGATGGGCAAACGCTGGGGACCCAGAGCTCAGGACGACCCGCTTGTCTAGGAAAACAAGACGTCGGAGGTCTGGGTCAGACGTCCGGCGGCGCCACCAAATATGGCGCCAGTGGTGTTCGATTACGGTTGTTCGTTTTGTTGTTGATTTTTTACGCCGACATTTCGGATTCTGGGGATCGCTTTCGGGCCCCAGGGCGCGAAGAATCCGCTGACACTGTCGGCGTGTTGAAGACGCTGTTCTGTCTGACTCGACGTCGTCGACGTCGTCGACGTCGTCGTCGTCGTCGTCCTTGTCACCGTCGTCGTCGTCGTCGTCGACGTCGTCGTCGCGTTTGACCCCGCTTTCCCTGGACCCGTCGCCGCTCCCCCACCTTTCACCGGGCTCTCCTCGAGCGAGCCAGCCAAAGCGAAACCAGAGCGAAATGGAGCAACGTCGTAGGGGAGTCGAAGGGAAGCCCCTTCCCCTTGATTTGTTTCCCTCCGGGGGGGGGGGTCCTGGGGGGGTCTCGCGGGGGGTTCCTGGGGGGGTGTTCGGGGTCAGAATGCCATTTTCCCCCGGGGGGTCCTGGGGCTCAAAAAACCCCTAAGACAGCTCAAGAAGGCCCCGAATCGCTGACCAATCGGTCCAAGACGCCGAAGATAGCCTCCTGACAGCACAAGCGGCTTCCAAGACGCTCGAAAGATGCCTCCAAGAGCACACCAAGAGGGCTCCAGCAGGCTAAATTATTTTCTGGCGTTCTCTACTTTTCGGCTTCGACGCCCCAAGACGGCCCGAGATGCCACCAAGATCGGCACTATAGGCCTCCAAGAGGTTTCCAAGACGGCTCCAAAACGACCCACTAGGGCCCCACGACGGCCCTAGAGGCTTCCCAGACGGCCCAAGAAGCCCCCCAAGAACAGCCCCAAGAGACGGGAGTCCGAACGAGCCTTTCGAGCCCTCGGTCCCGAGAAGCTCCCAGGAGGACCCAACAGGTCCCCAAGAGGCCCCCAGGAAGCCCGAAGGGAGCTTCAAGAGGCTCCAAGAGGCCCCCAAGATGCCCCCCCCCAAAGGCCCCCTAAACTGCCCCCAAAAGGCCTACGAGCGCGATCCGAAGAGGCCCCACGAAGCAGCACTGAGGACTCTGCCCTATGTCAGCGTCGTCGCCACCGACGCCGCCGTCGTGGTCGTTGTCCCCCTGCAGGGTCGGCGGCACCGTCCGTAAGGCCTTCCCAATGATCAACCGCATCGAAACATGGGACCTGGGGATATCAAGAACTCTAAGGCCCGCGTGGTGAACATGATCGGAACGACGTAGGTCAGGGACCATCCAAAGTGGCCATCTTGGGCCGTCGACGGCGGAAAACAAACCATAGATAGTGTACGGCACGTTCCTGCGTTGACGACGTGGGCCTGTGTGCGTGCCTTGCTTCCGAGCATTCTGACGACAACGTCGCTACTTCCTGATTGTTTGTTGTCCTGCAAACACCTCAGTGGATGTGCCCCTCCGAACATTGAAACTCGCTCCGACAGCTGGCCGCGCCCCGCAATTCAACGCGGACGTCGTGGTCGCAGTCGTCTGCTCCTCGCCCATCGTCTTCCTTCGAATCTATGACGGCTCGTTGGACTATACATCCCGTCGCCTTGGGCTGCTGCAAACGCCGATGGCTCTGGACAAGGTAACGGTCCCCAAAAATGATCATTGCACGGAAAGGGGCATATTCAGGAGATTCAGGAGGATGAGTTGTGTGTCGAGGGAAACAACATGGGGCGACATTTTGATCGAGCAAGCTGCGCGCCACGCATCTGTCACCAATGAGGTAGGGATCAAAATGCAGCTCGAGCGCATCCCTGGATGTATATGGACAATCCGGCAATCCTGCCGGGGCAATCCCGTCAGGGCAATCCTGCAAGCAACCGTTGGCTTCACGTGCGTGCGCTCTAACTCTGCACGGGCGCGGCCGCAACAACAATCATCTTCCTGTCTGTGAAGGAAGTGCTGCTAAACGTGCACCCAGCCTGCCGCACGTGTGGCCGACAGCCGATCTCTGTACACCACTCCCCTCCCAACCCGTCTATCCTCGCCCAGTTGTGCCTACATCTTATTCACGCTCATCGGTTGTGCACTTCGACATTCACATCTTGAGTGTCTACATGTCGAAAACGCAGCACTGATGACAGACCTGCAAGAAAGAACACGTGCACTCGCAAAGCTCTGGATCGCGAGCGTCCCACGTGCGACTACACCTCTGGCTCCAACGCAATCACATGCTGTCATAGATGCACCATTGAATCCGCAACGCCGAACAACATCGGCGATCTTTTTGCGAGACAACGCCGTGGAGTGAGCATCTTCGAAATAACTAAGAGAACATCGGTGTGGGCGAACGTCGAGATCTCAATGCTGGCGTAGGGCATGCTACCGTCCAGTCGGAAGCCAAAGCTGCAACCTTCGAAAGGCAAGGAACGAGCCAAGGCCAGCGCTACCAATATTTGTTTTCCCTAATGACAACCTGTTGCTCAGACTGCGGTGACGTAAACCTTGTAGAAATAAACCACAGGACCCCCGACATGCACCAAGTGGGAACGGGCGCGAAACATCTCATTCGACAAAGCACCAGACGACGACAATAAGCGTACGCCCAAGTATGTTATACCAACGAAGTGCAAACCGCGCCTGCAATTCTGCGGGACTCGCGTTGCCGAACCAATACGCTATCTTCAAGCTGGGGGCTATATTGCAACGGACATGATGTTCAACTATGAAGTGGTGAAACTGGTGGGGCATCCCCCGAGGAACCAGAAGGGGGGTGGAAATTTGGCAGGTCAGAGCTGCCACCTAGGCCCCTCGTCCAGGAAGAAAACACAATTCTGAGACTCATCGGTAAAACAATTCTGCAGTGAACCAACCCCGTCTCAAGATCCTAGGTGGAGAGCCCCAAGAATTTCCCAATTGATCCCGACATGGCGTGAATCAAACTTTGAGGCCCCGAGACGGTCCACGAAGATGGCACAAACCAAATGATTACATGAGGGATGACCGTCAACTAACTTCAGAATGCAACACGGCTCCCGAATGGGCTCTCAATCCCACCAGCCCTCAGGTAGTATGTGGTTTAAAGCGTTTCCTCTTCCAACACCCTTTTTCCCTGTCGGGGAGGGGCTTATCACTGTTCCTTATTGATATACACTCCCTCCTCCAGGCGACCGGCAGCCAACCAGGAACAACAATAACCCCAGGAGGGCCCCCCCTTAATCCCTGTCAACAAACAATACAGCGTACACTTTGGGGCAAAGTCCAGAGTCATGTTCGTGAGGCCCACGAACATTTTGTACTGTTTTGTGGCAGTGGCGGCGGGGGTGTCAGTATACTGCCTGCTATGCGCAGGACTACCTTCCCTGACACAAGCAATACACAATGCATCCCGCGGCTAAATCTGGATCAAGCGCGGCCACCCCGCGATCACTGTGAAGTGGTGGCGTATGTCCTGCTGTGCGCAGGCCCACCAGACACAATGATGGGCACTGGTCTTCGACAATGATGGTGGGGGCCGACATGTTTCCCGATGTGTGCTGTCATGTGCGCAGGCGCACCTGACACTCTCTGCACGTGCTCCGAACGTGGCGCACCTGGCGGGGCTGGAGTATGCGGCACACCTGGCGCACGCGGAGGCACGTGGCGCATCTGGCGCACCAAGCGCGCCTGGCACGCTCGGGCCCCAGGGGGGCCTGGCGCGTGTGGCGCGCCTGGCACGCCTGGCGCACCTCGCCCCAGCGTCGCGCACATGGGCTCGGTTTTGGCTCCCAATCGCCGTCCATCCAAAGATGACCGCTGAACATGGCTCTGGTGTAACTTATGTGTTGGGAGGGCGGGTGGGAGTGAGCCAGACGGCTTGCTATCTTGGAAGGTGTTTTGACCCCTTCCCCTACCCCCTCCACTGGACCTGGACGGGGAGGGCGGCGAGGCGCTGGAGCGTCCAAGATGGCCCAAGACGGCTCCAAGAGGGCCCCTGCGAGACCATGATGAGCTCCAAGATGGCTCAAGACAGCGCACGATGCCTCACGATGGCTCCCAAGATGCTCCAAGAAGTCTCAAGAACGTTCCAAGACGGCTCCAAGATGCCTCCGAGACCTCCAAGAAGGCCCCCAAGAAGCCCACATCTTTCAAACACCAAAGGGAAATCAACGAGTTTTGCTTTCTTGCTTTTTCGCTTCCGATGGCTATCCGAGGCCTCAAGATGGCTCCAAGAGGGCCCCAGAGGGCCCCAGGAGAGGCCCAAGAGAGCCCCAATACGGCCCCAAGAGCGCCCAAGAGCGCACCAAGAGGCGACTTTTGGGGCTCCCGAGGGGGGACCCAAATTGAAGCTTCCCTCTGTTTTGATGGATGTCCTCCAAGATGGCCCAACGAGCGCCCCTCAAGCTCCCAAGAGCGCCCCAATAGGGCCCCCAAAGGCGCCCAGACGGCCCCAAGAGGCGCCCAAGAGCGTCCAAGAGGCTCCCAAGAGACGCCGAAGAGTGCCGAAGAAGCTTCCCGAGGCACCCAAGACGCTCAAAGACGCACCAGGGGCCGCCAAGAGGCCCCAAGACGCCCCAAGAGGCCTCCACAAGGCTTCCAAGAGACATTCGAGGAGACTCCGAGAGTCATTCAAGAGGCCTCTGGCCTGTCTGCTCGCTCTCTGCCTCCTCCTCCTCCTCCTTCTCCTCCTCCTGCTTCTCCTTCTCCTCCTTCTTCTCCGTCTCCTCCTCCTACTCCTGCTCCTCCTCATCAGCAAATTAATCATCCTTCTCCCCCCTCCCTCATCCATCCTCCTCCTGCCTCGAGCGATGACGGCTGTCTCCCTCTTTGCTCCTACACTTCCCTGATCGTCTCAACTCACCTGGGCGTCGGTTATGGATGGGCTGGTTGGTATACGCGAAGCGTCAAGAATTTCCTCGAAGGAGTCCCAACGACACTTCGTTAAGCTGCGGGGAAGATAGTAAAACACCACTCGAACATATGCTTCATTGTCGATCATTCGCTTTGCACGCAAGATATTGGGGCCAATCGAAAGCGGAAAACAATAACACTTTACATCATCTTCATACGGTCACAAGGGCAACTTGAGTGAGATAACCTCCCGTGTGATCTACCAGGCGATCGCATGGTGCACCGGTACGCACTGAGTGACTTCAATCTGCTTCAGGATAGCCCTAGGATGCTTCGAAGGTGCTTTATTGCGGCCAGAACTCAGATAATAGCCCAACGGCTTCGAATCAGTGCCGACCACAGAGCAGGGGAAGACTGGCATGGCAATGGCTGGAGGCCGTCGGATATCCAGCACAGATACGTAATCAATCACGCAGTCATGCAGAGCAAATGCACAACCAGTGAATTTCCACTGAGACCTTCTATCGTCTGCGTGAACAGCGTTAACGCAAATTTTGAACATGCTGCGCTTTTTGCTTAGCCTGGAACCGTCTCAAACGTATGCCGTCAGCTCGGCGTCGGGGTACGCCTCGCCGAAGACGCGGCTGGCGACTCCGCGCCTGAGGCAACTCTTTCTCTGAATCCGCTCGCTTTAGATTTTGCGAGTGGGCCGAGTGGCCCCGCCCACCGGAGGGGAAACGTTAGGGGGGGATCGGTTCAGTGGTGGGAAAGATCGACCTGGAATCGGCGACTCGTCGCCGATAGATCCACGATAGGCCTCGGAAAAGAAATCCGCATTGTCCTGGGCGGGATGGGCTGTCAGGCCCCTACCGGCGATGAGTGTGCGATTGGGGATCGATGCGTCCCCCCCTGAACCTGTCCCCTCCCTGACGTTGCCCCTGACCCCCGGACCCCTCCCGGTGTCCACTCTGCCCGGCGCTGCGACGCGGATCCAGGCCGTGGTGACGAGAAGCCTCCAGGAGGCCCACGACGGACGCAGAACGGCAAGGACCCTCGAGCTCCTTCTCTGAGCGCTGGCAGGCGGGCGCCCAGACGCGGACGCAGGCGGGCGCCCTGCGCAGATGCGGCGGCACATCTCCTGACACGACGGCGAGGGCGACTGCTTCTGCCACCGCCGATGCCGTCCATTTTTGGAACGCCCTGCGCCGCCCGGGGCTCTCGAGGGCCGCCGGAGGCCGGAAGCCTTCGTCCTTGAGCGCCCCCGCGCGCGCTGCCGTGACGACCTGCCCTTGGCGTGGGGCCCGGGGTAAGACGAAGCCAGGACGGGGGCACCATCGGATCGAGACCATCCAATCTGAGATCTCTGAGATCTGGCGGTCTTGCATGGGCCCAGACCTCCGGCAGCTCCAATCTCGTCGATGCGTGGGCCCCGGAGACCTGGACCACTTCCCCGGGGGCCGGTTGTCGTCCCGAGTCGTTTTGTTGCCGGTCTCGAGGTCCAGCGAGGGCCCCCGGAGGCCGACAGCGGCCAAACGCCGGCCGTCCTTATCTTTTTTCGGAGCGTCGGATCTCTGGGTCCTCCTCCGCCTCCCTCCTCCTCCTCCTGCTCCGCCTCCTCCTCCTCACTGCTCCTCCTCCTCCTCCTCCTCCTCCTCCTCCACCTCCTCCTCCTCCTCCTCCGCCTCCTCCTCCGCCTCCCTCTCCACCTCCTCCTCCTTCCTCCTCCTCCTCCTCCTCCTCACTGCTCCTCCTCCTCCTCCTCCTCCTCCTCCTCCTCCTCCTCCTCCTCACTGCTCCTCCTCCTCCTCTCCTCCTGCTCCTCCTCCTCCTACTCCTCCTCCTCCTCCTCCTCCTCCTCCTCCTCCTCACTGCTCCTCCTCCTCCTCCTCCTCCTCCTCCTGCTCCTCCTCCTCCTCCTCCTCCTCCTCCCTCCTCCCTCCTCCTCCTCCTCCTCCCTCCTCCCTCCTCTCCTCCCTCCTCCCTCCTCCCTCCTCCAGGCCATTCAGCCCAGGCCTACCTCTTCCCTCCTCTCCCTCTCTAAGCTTCATTTCCTTCGCTTCCCCCCCCCACAGGCCATGATGCGCGAGCTCAGCACCCTGGGCAACGCCGACGCAGACGAGGACATGCCCGCTGCTGAAGCGGCTCCGGGGAGGCACCTAGATGTGCTTCGCATTCTGCCACCAGACTTTCATAGCGCCTGGCCCTTTTGGGAGCACTTGGCTGAGCGGCTCCTCCTGGCCCACCAGCAAGTCTACCGCTTTCTCAGCGGCGGCTCGAGGCGCCACGCTCTTTTACTGTCTCCTACCACTGTGTACCAGCCTGCCTCGGTACCCCAGTGGCAAGCTACATGGCAGCTCGAGGGCGGGCCGCCTGCTATGCCACACGCCCGCGCTACCGTAGGCCCCGAGCTCCACATGGACTTGCCCGATGTCGCTAATCACACAGTCGAGCGGTGGTATGGGCGCTGGTGCGAGGCCAACTCTCCCAACTACCTCCACATCTATCCTCACTGCGCAGCGGGTGAAGGCCCCTATGCTGCCCGTTTCTCACCCGCTATCGGTTTGGTCACTGTCTACGTGCCCAACCAGATTTTTCTGGACCTCCTCCACACGGGGGCCTGGGACCAGCCTTCTCTCACCCCTCAGCGTCTTTTGGAGGATGCAGCGGCTGGCAGCCCCATCCTAATAGACTTCCAGGCCATGATCCTGGTGCGGCCATTTAGCCTCCCATTGTCCTACCTCTCCCGAATCCTCCGCCTCCCTGAACCCTAGCCCCTCAGGTCATGCCGACCCCAGATGCGCAGCACCTGCCGCAGTTCGAGCACGGCGACGTCCGCTGTGCCCCCACTGAGGCCGTGCCACCACCGCCTACAGTCGTACAGTGGCTGGTAGTGATCACGGCAAGCCATATTCCGCTCTGGTCTCCACTGCCCATCAATGTAGGGCTCCTAATGGAGCAATTTCACGGGCAGGAGACCCGGCTGCCATCCTCTGTGGAGAGGCCGCGCTATTTTCACCTCCCCATTCTACAGGAGATCGATGCACTGCCCATTTTATTCGGCACGGGCATACCTTATCGCACCGGCCTTTCGCTGCGGGTCAACATGCGCAGCGGAACCATCCTCATCCCAATCGACTCCGCACCGGGCCAAGCATGCATCAGTCGGCCCATTAGGAGGGTCCTCCTCACCCAGGCGCACGCATAAGCTAGCTAGGTTTCACTCATATTTGGCCGTTGGCTTATGGGCTATTTCTCTTCGCTCCCTTCGCACTCCCCCCTTCTCTCAGCGCGCGCAACGCAGCCATGGCGGCCAGGCTTCCTGCGGGCGGGCTCGCGACGGCGGCGACGGAGGGGACCGCGCCCCCGCCTGGGGCCGCAGCCGAGCCCGGCAGGGCGCCGCCCAACACGCTGGAGCTCTTCGGCCTATCAGGCGATACGCAATCTGGCTCGGCATGGCAGGGCTCCCAGTACACGGCCGCCACCCGCGTGTTCAAAAAATGGTGGCCAGCCACGTACCCTGGCGAGTGGAAGATGCCCAACGGCATGCTCTACCCGTTCGTGTGGAAGCTCAAGTCGGTCGACATCATCGCTGGCCAGGTCGTCGAAACTTGGGATTGGGAGTGGATAGAGGCTCCAGGCTTGGCGACCATCGCAGAGGTCGAGACCATGCTGCTGGACCACTTCAACCAGCAGCAGGCCGCCGCGCAGGAGGCCCAGGCGCGAGCGGCGGCGGCCGCGGCCGCCCGCGCGGCCGCCGAGAGGGCCCCTGCGCCTACGCCGGTGCCCACGCCCAAGCAGCCGTCCAACGCGTCGCCCTTCGGTGCTTGAGCGGGCCTTAGTGCGTGCTGCCTCCCAGTCGGCGCCATCCCAGGTCGACACGGGCGACCTCGGCGCAACCAATAATGCGCCCTCATAGGTGGTGGGCTAGCCTAATACCCTAGTCTCTGTTCATCTCGGCTGCCCACCACCTAGACAGCCCTAGCCAGCCACACGAGCCGAATATTTCTACGCGCTGGGGAGCCGTGCCGTTCCAATTTAAGGTCGGCTGAGCCGTCCTGCAGTCCCGTCGCAGCGGGCCCTTCAGTTCTATCATCTTTCTGCCCCATCCCAAGGGCCCGCTGCATGAGTCGCCCACCGCCACGCGCGGGCTCTGAGCCTTTTTTGTAGGGGCGCCTGCGCTCTTCGACCCCCTCTGTGAGAGTTCGATCATCGAGGGTGTTCGAGAGCTGACAGGCTCCGCCGTGGCCGTGCACTTTCACAGGGCACGTCCATATTGTCTCACCGCTACCAGTCTAGCCTCAAGTTGAGGCCTCGGCGAGTGCTCTTGGGGATCCCGCTTCTTCCTCCTTATGCCTCTCTCCGCACATGCCCCAGCGCTAGCCGCAGGCCCTCAACACGCGCAACTAGACCCCTGCTGGCACCTCCGCCACATGCAGGGACAGACTAATGTAGGCGGCTAGCCTGCACCAGTCTCTAGCTTCACACCTCTCCGCCGCACGAGTGCGGCCAACGCGACACTTTTAAGCAGCCCCGCTACCAGAAGAGCGGTCGGCTCAACGCTCACAGCTCAATGGCAAGCAAGTGGCCCCGCGCAGCCAAGTGCCTTCGGGGACCCCGCTCCTTCCTCTTATAGCCTCCTCCTTTCACACACCCCGCTAGCCACGCGGCCTGCGCTCGCTTGCAGGCGATAGCCACTTGCTCCTGGGACGATGCCCAGATAAGCCGCAAGCCTTACTAGTCTCTAGACCCCCATGGGCACGGCCGCCCATGTCGGGAAGCACTGATGTAGGCGGCACGCCAGCACCAGTACTCTTATATATACCGCCGCGCTAGTGCGGCCTGCGTCGCCCCTACATTTGGGCCTGGCGGCGCTCTCACAGCGAGCCACTGGCTCCAGCGAGCAAGCGCGAGCCTACGTCCAGGCCGCCAGCCTCTGTCACAATTCGCTGACTCGCCCCAGGCTGAGTCTGGGCCACAGGCCCCCCATACCTTAGGCGGCGTGGGGCCCCGAGCCACCACCCCAGCCTCGCCGCGCTGGTAGCCAGCACCTTCGCCAGCTACCTTGCTGAATGGCCTCACTCCAGCAGGGCTGCCCCTGCCTGGCCGCACAGCAGTACGCCGTGCGCTGATGGCAGCATCTCATCCCTCTCCCTTCCCTTCATTCTTTCCCTCCCTTCGTATCGCGAATAGATGCTGCCTCAGCACCTCCCTCCTGCCGAGTATCTCTCGGCTAATGCTGCCCATCAGAGGTGCGCACCTCTGCGGACAGCTACCGCGCCTTAGTGCTTCTTGGCTGTGCAAGATACTCCTTCTCCTTCCCTCGAGTTCCTCCCTCCCCCTAGGAAGCCAAGTACAGCACAGGCGTTCTCTTACCTGCCCCCCTTACCGGTCACGTGCGTTTCCGATGGGGCTTCCTAGGTCTCTAGGCGGCAATGCCAGCCTCTCCCTCCTGGTCCGCTCCGACACGGCCGCCCTACAGCGCGGCACTGCCATTTTGGCCCTCTTCCTACTCATCCCGCTCATATCCATGGCTAAGCCATGCTCCCAGGTGGCCGTTCCTGAGGCCAGCTGTGCTGCTCTTCGGTCTTTCAGCGCTGCCCGCATAGGGCAACGCCTAGCTGGCGCGCTTAGTGACTCTCGCACGGCACCGATCCCTTCTCTTCCTCTTTTTCCCCCTCCCTCCCCTTCGGTGCCAATACCTCCCCCGCCCAACATGCAGGTCCAATGGCGAAGAATCGCTTTTGCTTGCGGACGGACCAGGAGCGGAGATCCTTTGTAGTGCCCGCTAGGCGGGCTCTGTCTGCCGCCTAGCCGACCTGCGGCCGCCCCGCTCAAGCTACTTGCAACGAGCTAAGTGCAGTCAAAGCCTCCCTCCTCCCTCCTCCCTCCTCCCTCCTCCCTCCTCCCTCCTCCCTCTCCTCCTCCTCCTCCTCCTCCTCCTCCTCCTCCTCCTCCTCCTCCTCCTCCTCCTCCTCCTCCTCCTCCTCCTCCTCCCCCTGCTCCTCACTGGAGCGTCGGAGCGTCGGATCTGTGGGGAGGATGCGCTGGGCGCTGCAGGCGTTCCAGAGCGCTCCAGAACGCTCCGGGACCGCTCCAGGACGCTCTGGAAGGATCTCTCCTGGCCCTGGGCGGAAGTCGGGCATGTCCTCCTAGAGGCGGACCTTCGAAGACAAAGGATCCACCGAGACTCAAAGAGAGTCAGGGGAGCACGACAAATCGCCCCGAGACTTTTTTTTTTTTTATTCGTGAACGCTCCTCCTGTCGAGGGACCTGCCTGGTTTCACCCTGGGCCCGCAAGGCCGCACCGCTCTCGACCTCACCCCAAGGCCTGCGGCGCGGTTCTGGGAGGCCAGGCCGAAGCAAACGCGGACGGCACGATCTTTTCGCGGCGCCGAGTCGGAGTGCTCATCCTCGACATCGCCGGGGAGGAGGAGGAGGAGGAGGAGGAGGAGGAGGAGGAGGAGGAGGAGGAGGAGGAAGGAGGAGGAGGAGGAGGCACAAGAGCTCGGGGAACAAAGCATTGCATGAGCACAGAACTTTCGGCGGAGCGCGCTACGGACAGGCTCCAGCGCCGATCCGAGAGATCCGCGCGGACCTCCGAAATCCTATCATGTCTATGCTACTAAGTGGGCGATTTCGGAAACCCTGAATCCAATCATGTCTTCATCTCTTGGGGGCACATCTGTTCCTTCCGCCGCCTTCCGCCGAACTTCCGTCGGCTTCCGCCGACAGACGCGGCCTCGTTTTACTTCCGTTGACCTTCCGCCGCCCTTCCGCCGCATTCCGCCGAGGAAGAGATGACAACTCCTTTGGTCCTCGAAGGAAAGGCAGTTCTTGGAATGCCTTAAGTGTCCCCCGAAGAACTGCAGTAGGCACATGGGATGATACATCTTGCTACAAGAAATCTATAGACACGTGTCCCATCGAACCATGAGCTTCACGAGGTGCCCCACGGCTTCCATGAGCCCCCAGAGCCATCGGGCGGTCTGGGAAGCCTCCGTGGAACATCTGCTGGCCGGCCAGTTTCTTATCCGGTGTGCCTGGTTTGCTTGCAGTCCCCGCAGTCCGAAGACATCCAGCCGCTCCAATTTTTTCGATGCGAAAGCCCTGGAGGTCTGGACCACTTCCTCAGGGCCGGCTTGTCGTCCCGAGTTGTTATTTGACGGTCCCGAAGCCCAGCGAGGGCCCCTGGAGGCCGACACGGCCAAAAGCCAGCCGCCCTCATTTTTTGTCGGAGCGTCGGATCTCTGCGTCCTCCTCCTCCTCCGCCTCCTCCGCCTCCTCCTCCTCCTCATCCTCCTCCTCCTCCTCCTCCTCCTCCTCCTTCGGCGCCACGACCAAAACCGTGGCGGCCGCTTGTGCCTCGGCCTGGCCCTCCAGGGCCTGGCCTTGGGCCCCCGGGGACGGCGTCGAGAGCGGTGTGGCCTGGCGGGCCCAGAGCCGAGGCATGGCATGGCCAGCCCGCTGCTTATTATCTGGCGCGCCTGCCCAGACCCCCGACGTCATGATTTTCTCATCACGTCGACCCCCAAAGGTCTCGACCCCTTCCCCAGGACCGGCTCTTCCTCCCCGGTCACCTTTGGACGGCCCTGAGGCCCGATGTAGGGGCCCCCAAAGGCCGAACATAGCGACACACCTTCCGTCGTGTTTTTTTCGCAGCCCGCGGGGGTCTGGGGAGGAGGAGGAGGAGGAGAAGGAGGAGGAGGAGGAGGAGGAGGAGGAGAAGGAGGAGGAGAAGGAGGAGGAGAAGGAGGAGGAGGAGCAGGAGGAGAAGGAAGGAGGAGTGGGAGGATGAGGAGAGGGTGAGGAGGAGGAGGAGGAGAAGGGGGAGAGGGCGGAGGAGGAGGAGGGGGAGGAGGGGGAGGAGGAGGAGTAGGGGGAGGATGGGGGAGGGGGGAGGAGGGGGAGGAGGGGAGAGCGGGAGGAGAGAGGAGGAAGAGGAGGCTGGAGGAGGAGGAGGCGGAGGCGGGGAGGAGGGTGAGGGAGGGAGGAGGAGGAGGAGGGAGAGGAGGAGGAGGAGGTGAGGGAGGAGGAGGGGAGGAGGAGGGGCGGAGGAGGAGGAGGTGGGGAGGAGGAGGGACGAGGCGGAGGAGGAGGGGCGGAGCAGGAGAGGAGGAGGAGGAGGAGGGAGGAGGAGGAGGAGGAGGAGGAGGAGGAGGAGAAGGGGGGAGGGAGCGGCGAAGGAGGAGGATGAGGAGGATGAGGAGGAGGAGGAGGAGGAGGAGGGGAGGAGGAGGAGGAGGAGAAGGAGGAGGAGGAGGCGGAGGAGGGAGGAGGAGGAGGAGGAGGAGGAGGACTGGGAGGAGGGTGAGGAGAAGGAGGAGGGGGAGGAGGGGTGGGAGGATGAGGAGGGTGAGGAGGAGGGGGAGGAGGAGGAGGGTGAGGAGGAGGAGGAGGAGGAGGAGGAGGAGGAGGAGGAGGAAGAGGAGGAGGAGGAGGAGGAGGAGGAGGAGGCGGAGGAGGGGGAGGTGGCTTGCTTGCAGCCCCCGCGGCCTGCGCGTGGCCCGCACCCGCAAAAAGAGGCCCCTCTCCCTCGGCGGCGCCCGGGCTGCCTGCCCAGCCACGGCCCTGCGGCACGCCGAGGGCGGCGGGCGCGGCGAACCTCTGGAGCTACTCTCCTGCAAACAGGGCGGGTGCGCAGGGGAGGATTGCACGCCACCGAGGGAGAGAGACTCTGAGATCCTGGCGGCTCCATTTTTTCGAGCCGGGCGTGTTCGGTCCGTTTCGAGCCCCGGGGCCCTTCCCAATTGATCCGGCTCGAAAAATGACGCAGAAAGATGGGGTCCGGGGGTCCAGTCGTGATTTTCTGCGATGATGCATTTTTTTGTAACGTCGGATCTCAGGGGAGAGAAAGGAGTCCGACGATTCACAGAAAAAACTCAGGGAAAGCCCATCGAAGAGGAACCTTCGTGTCACAACAACACGGCCTCTGGACGACCGCACTGTGAGCCAGTGACAGGGCCACCCCTAGGAAAAAAGCTCGCCGTCTGCGCCAACCTCGGGCGGGTGCGCAGTCGAGGAGGGTAAGACGAAGCCAGAACGAGGACCAAATCGGGTGAGGAGAAATCGAGAATTTCTGAGATCCAGCGGCTCTCCCTGAGATCCGACATTGCAGAAAAAATGCGACATCGCAGAACATCGCGACCGGACCCTCGGACCCTATCTTTTTGCATCATTTCGAGCCGAATCGATCTGATCTGTGAGGGTCCTGGGGCACGAAATCGAGCGAAAACGCCCAGCTCGAATAGTTGAGTCGCCAGGATCTCAGGGTCCGGCGGCTCTGGAGGATGTCTCGGGCGCCGCGGCCTTCTCAGAGCGTACTGGAGCACTTTGAGAGCGCTCCGGCGGAGCGCTGTGGAAGGGATGCCTCCTCGTCCTAGCCCCGCCCGAGAGGGGTCGGCAGAAAGTGCGACGAGGAAGGGGTCATCTCTCGACGTCGCCCTCCTCCGCCTCCTCCTCCGCCTCCTCCTCCTCCTCCGCCTCCTCCTCCGCCTCCGCGTCCGCCTCCTCCTCCGCCTCCTCCTCCTGCTCTTCCTCCTCCTCCTGCTCTGCCTCCTCCGCCTCCTCCGCCCCCTCGTCCGCCTCCTCCGCCTCCTCGTCCGCCTCCTCGTCCGCCTCCTCCTCCTCCTCCGCCTCCTCCTCCTCCTGGGCCCCAGAAGCCTGGCGCTCTGATCTTGTCGATGCGTGGGACCTCAGACGAGAACACGTCGGTGGCCGTGTAGAACGCCGTGCGAAAGCTGAGACCCGTTGAAGCACGCCTTGCCTGGCACAAACTCTGAACCAGCAGCGCCTTCTCGACGCCGATTCTTGATGTATCCGCGCGCTCCCGGCCCCTTCCCCACAGCCAGCTTTTCATCCCGAGTCCTCCTCGGACGGTCCCAGGCCCCGAAACCGGCACCCCGGGGCTGAGCATGACGACGACAAAAAACTGGCCACCTCTGTTTTTCCGAGGCGCCAGCTGCCTGGGCTCCTGCCCCTCCTTCTCCCCCCCCCTGTGCGGCGACCCTGTGGACGTGCAACACGCTGAAGGGATTGGGGGATCCAGGGGGGAGGAGACGACGTGGCAACGTTTCGGAGGAGGCGGGGGATTTCACTCGGGAAATGGTTTCAGGAGAGCGAGGAGGAGGAGGTGGATGCGAATGGGCGCTGCCGTTTCCTAGAACCAATTACCAAGCCGATGCCGAACGTGCAATGCGACCTTCTGCGGGAATATGTAGGAAGTTCTTTCCTGGCGCGCTCGCCAACGACAGCCATTGAATGCCATGATATTTGCAAAATCCTGGGACCTCTTCTGGACCACTGACGCTTGGATTCATATGTTACGGGAAGCTCTAGCTGTCGCTGAAACATGTCATGGATCTGCTGGACTTTGGCGTGCTTCAGACCTGTATTCCAGGAATTGTGGATCCATATCACGTGGTGTACATTGAATAAAATGTTGTTCCCACCGCAGCTCTTGAGCAGTTGGCGGGTACGCGCAAAAACAATCGATGCCTTCATTGAGCGCATCCTTGCATCCAAATACCCTGGTCCATTCGAATGTGGCGCCGATGCGAACCTGCTCCATTGCGGCACGGAGTGGGCATCTTGCACGGACTGCAAAGACATCGACTTCATCGGCATAATCTGCTCATCGAACTTGTGCGTGTGTACTGGTAGAGTGGAGCCACGCACGTTTCTCCTGAACAAAAACTGGCCGAACACCAGGCGGGATCAAGATACTGTCGACGACGTAGTTTTTGGCTGGGTACATGTCGCATGAACACCCGTGGTCTATGGAGAAAGCTCTTATCTGCTCAAATGCGAGGAAGGCGCATAGATACTGGTCGTTTAAGCCTAAGCGCAAAGCTTCTTGGGAGTGAAACGTGGAAGTACTTGATTTGATGATGGCTTGTAGCGCATCGTCGACGGTACACTCGAGGAATTTCTCGTCCCCAGCGGTTCTCACTCGTGCCTTCTCGGGCCGCACTTCCAATGAATCTGGGTCATGCTTCACTTGCAGGCATGTCGCGGCGTCTCACGTCGTACGTGGCTGACTAGGCACCCTACGCCATCCACCAGCAGTGCACTTTATGTCGACAGGCTTGGTTGAATGCGTGCATGCAGCCAACGACACCCACAGCGATGTCAGCCAACACTCCCTCGAAAGGCATGAAGGCCCAACTTGCGCGAGGCGAGGGGAGGCAGACCCAATGCACGTTGTCTCTGCGAGAAAATACACGGAAGCGGGACTGCCTTTGAAGAGGCTGTCTGGCTTTTCAATAAGCTCGGCCTGCTTTCTGAACGGGAGGGCGGCACAACGCTGAGCAGAAACATCGCAAAGGACACTGCAGAAACACCCTTGGAACTGCCAACACATCTATGGAAGGGGACCGCAAACATAGCCCCAGCCTGCGCGCATGCGTGAGGCGACTTGCGCGAAACCAAGCATGGTTGAGCCAGAATGGCTTGAGCTAAAGCGGCAACGGGACGAAGGCTGAAGAGGAGGAGGAGGAGGAGGAGGAGGATGAGGAGGAGGAGGAGGAGGAGGAGGACGAAGCGTGAAGAGGGATCCGAGCCACCTAGCTTAGCGCATTGCGCCCCGCGATGCGGGACATCTTCGCGCCCTCGCACCGCCCCATCACTCCCCCGAGAAGGGCAACTCTATAGCCCAGGCCGCGAAGCGCTATCTTCGCACCCCTGGGGGTGACCTGGGGGATGATGAGCCATACTGGCTGAATGACTCGAGCTCAAATGAATACGCAACGGAAGCAGAAAGAGGGGGTGGAGTCGAGCTAGGCACGCTCGTTCCATGTCTGGCATTCTGCCCCTCCCATCCATCCCCTCCCATTGCGCTGATTTCTTCTCTATCCGCGGACGCGTGTCATAGCAGACCAGGAACTTCAACATGAACCAATCGTGTTATGCGCAGTGGGAAAACGGGGAGCTGCGTACATAGGAGCAGGGGATGAGGATGTGGCGGATGAGCAGGA